GTTTGGACATGTGCAGAGGAGGGATAGTGGTTATATTGGTAGAAGGATGTTGGAGATGGAGCTGCCAGGCAAGAGGTCAAGAGGAAGGCTAAAGAGATATATGGATGTACTAAAAGAGGACATGAGGTTAATTGGGGTGAGAGTAGAGGATGCTGAGGATAGAGTTAGGTGGAAAATAGATGAAGAAAACGTTTTCTGTAGTTCTTGACCAGTTTTGCTCACACTGCAGCAGGGATTTTGGCCCACTCCTCCATACAGGTCTTCTCCAGATTTTTCAGGGTTTGGGGCTGTCGCTGGGCATCACAGAGTTTCAGCTCCCTCCATAGATTTTCTATTGGGTTCAGGTCTGGAGACTAGTTAGGCCGGCTGTGTGTTTGGGGGTCATTGTCATGCTGGAAGACCCAGCCACGACCCATCTTCAATGCTCTTACTGAGGGAAGGAGGTTGTTGCCCAAAATCTCGCGATACATGGCCCAGTCCATCCTCTCCTCAATACGATGCAGTCGTCCTGTCCTCTTTGCAGAAAAGCACCCCCAAAGCATCATGTTTCCACCCCCATGCTTCACGGCTGGGATGGTGTTTTTGGGATTGTACTCATCCTTCTTCTTCCTCCAAACACGGTGAGTGGAGTTTATACCAAAAAGTTCTATTTTGGTCTCATCTGACCACATGACCTTCTCCCATGCCTCCTCTGGATCATCCAGATGGTCTTTGGTAAACTTCAGACGGGCCTGGACATGTGCTGTCTTGAGTAGAGAGACTTTGCGTGCGCTGCAGGAATTTAAGCCATGACGGTGTAGTGTGTTACTAATGGTAACCGTTGAGACTGCGGTCCCAGCTCTCTTCAGGTCATTGACCAGGTCCTCCCGTGTAGTTCTAGGCTGATCCTTCACCTTTCTCAGGATCATACTCCACGAGGTGAGATCTTGCATGGAGCCCCAGTCCGAGGGAGATTGACAGTCATCTTGAATTTCTTCCATTTTCTAATAATTGCACCAAGAGTTGTTGCCTTCTCACCAAGCTGTTTGCCTATTGTCCTGTAGCCCATCCCAGCCTTGTGCAGGTCTGCAATGAGTGGAGGATAGGAGGGCTTCTTAAAGACAAACTAACAGGTCTGTGAGAGCCAGAATTCTTGCTGGTTGGTAGGTGATCAAATACTTATTTCATGCAATAAAATGGAAATAAATTATTTAAAAATCTAACAATGTGATTTTCTGGATTTTTTTTTTTTTTGTAGATTCTATCTCTCACAGTTGGTGTACCTACGATGAAAATTACAGAACTGTCCATTCTGTGTAAGTGGGAAAACCTGAAAAATCGGCGGTGTATCAAATACTTATTTGCCCCACTGTATCAATAATAATAGTAGTCTTCTGATAGCTTCAGATGTCATTTGGCTCATGGTCTCCCACTCAGTGCTGCTCTCCATCCCTGTCATGTTATTACTATGAAGAGATAAATAATGTAGGACTTCTACCATAACACATGCAGCAACATAATTGATTGACCAATATCATTCAGCTTTGTACTCGTATTGAGAATAAACATTTTGTTTTTGTTTTACTTTCCTACTATTTTTGGTGTTATTTAGGAAAGAAGCATCAAGATCTGATGAGAAGACAAAGATTGAAAATTGCCTATCTCAAGACAAATGTTCTTATTTTTCACATTTTCAGTAAAGATAAAGATAAGATTTTCAGCAATAAATATTGAAAGTGAAGTTATTTGTCAAGTGATTTTTTTTTTGGTAATTGTTTTTTATTGACTCAGCCAGGTACTTAAAGACAGGTGACACATTTTGAAACATAAAACCTGTGTTTTCCTCTAATTTCTTATCCTTCTGCTATTACAAAACACAATTTTGGCTCTTTATAGCATAATACCATATCTTTTAATGTTCATTTTGATGATGTATATTTTCTTATAAATATGTAATTTACCACAGCTGTAATGCACTGGAAAATGTTGAAAATGGACCTGGAAAGTGCTTGAATTTGATCTTAGAAAAGGTGTATGAACCCTGCATATTAAAAACAAAATCTTGACTGCACCTGGTTTTGTGGATATACTTTCCTTCTAACTGTGACCAGAGGATGTGGAGAAAAATACAGGGCCTGAGGTTACTGCATGTCTGGGAATGTTCATGTACAGGGACTCACTATTGTACCTGACTGGGCCTAACCTACAAGCAGCCAGCCTGTGAAGCCCCCATGGTGGTGAATGATCGGCTCATCAATGCTGGATTCCCCCGGAGCAAAGTACCGGTTTGTTTTGACTGCAGTGTGTCTGCTGCATGTGGTGAGATGCTGGTTAACCAGTGGATTAACGACCCATGTTGTTGTTGGCACTATGCTACCTGTTAGAATTAGTTTCACTGCTTTGGGACTGTATGTGGTCGTGTGGACAAGCTAATTTTTCCATACCACAGCACAATATAAAAAGACAACACAGATCCAATAAAACTACAATAAAACATGGCTGCACAAACAAAATTCATTTTTCTTAAAAAGTATGTGTTGTGCTTTCCTCTGAGCCATATCAACATGTTGGCCAAATTTCAATTTGCTATCTATAACTATCCCAAGATATTAATAATTTTCCACCAGAGCTACAGTACATCAGAGTCTTATATGACAGGTAGTGATATGACAGTACCAGATATCATCAATGATGTGCTTTGTCCTTTGCATTTCTTTGGACTGGGGCAGTAAGTTGGAGTACCTGCAGAAAATATATGCAGGCATGGGGAGAACATACGAACACCACACAGAAAAGCCCAGTCAGGATTTGAACACAGAACTTTATTGATGTGAAGTGACAGTGCTAACTGCTGCACCACAATGGTGCCCATAATAATAAAATGCAATTTAGTTGTTCACTGTAAGTCTTTCGAGGACCTACAACTAAAACAGTAGCATAGTGCTTATTTTGGACAAGTTACAAGTATTTATGATAATGATGAAACAAAACAAGTTATCAATTTAAACATAGCATACATTGTGTGTTTTCTCTCAACAAAGAAAACTGTGATGGGTATATACAGCTAAGTGGAAATACATTGAAGAAGGCTGTACACAGCAGACAACCAAGCAATCTGGTTGACTCAGAACAAGAATGGGCTAAAATTACACCAGAATGAATCCAAATGCTGCTCAGAGGGAACCCAGAGAGGTTGGAAGAGGTGAGGGAGGGCATACAACGTAACAGAGAACATTTCATAAAGGGGATGCAAACTTTTTCACTGATATGATTTTCATTATTTTACCATGACTTTCTTTTTATACACTCCGACCAGTTTGTTACTTCTGTTGAGGAAGAAAGTTGTACTAGTTGAATGTGCATTAAATATTATGTTGAGAAAAAATTCTTTGCTTTACTCTTTTTGCCATTTCAAAATGAGGAGATGTAAATTATTGCATTCAACTCTTGTTTCTTGTTCCTATGGATGTTTGCCATATTAAATTCATACAAATTGAAATGTTGCAGTCAATACATGTGAATATACATAGTTCGGTGTACAGACAACCTCTCTTTTTCCTTCATCTTTGCCCTGTACCTGTACCCACCTCAGGTTGGATGTGAACACAATTGACCTCTTTTGGTTTTCTCCTAATGTCATCCTTAAGACAAACTGTGGGTAAATGTCTCATTTTGGAGTTTATTGATGCTTTGATGATGGTCCATAGAAATCCACTGGGAAGATGCACAGAGACCTATTTTTTCCATTGATTATCTCAGTAGGTGAAACATTAAGTGCAGTCTCCTGTAGTAATAATAATACCTACTAATATGATGTATGATGGTACCACTCCTCATGAAGACCTAAAAAAGACAGCATCACTGCTACCTACTATCAAATATCAAATGGAATTGTTTTAGAAAAAACAAAAGGCAAAGAAACATTTATTTAAACATGGTAATGATACAGTATGGTGCAACTTTTTTTTTTTAGTTTGACAAAATGACAAACCTCTAGTAGGTGTGGGATTAAATTAGATGAGTGGTCCACAATCTTTGCATCATTTCAACTGCAGCACCACCTGCAAGACATAAAAACAGAGTTCTGCTAGACAGCCCGCAGACAGTGCACACCTCCACCAAGGGGCAGCTCAGTTTCCCCATAGTGCCATAAAAACAATATTTTTATGATCGTCTGACCCTCATAATATGACTGCTTGACCATGAAAACCTACTGCTGGCATTGATAATGAGGCTCCTACCTTCATTAGGTTAAACGTTATTCAAGAAAAATGATAGACATGACAGACGTTCACTTGTTGGTCTAGGGGTAAAATGGGGACCTCAGTGAGTGGGCTGCAAGCAAAGCGGTGAAGACGTCACATTTCTGTAGGCTGTGTACTGCTTGCTTAGTGCTGTTTGATTAAATTGTTCATACAGTCTCCTTTACTGGCTGATTGCTGCACTGTGGAGAGATTCTACACCTCCTCTGCTCAGCTGTGTGTGTGTGTGTGTGTGAGGAGCGCAGCCCCTCTCTCTTCTAAACAGAGACCAAATCAGGGCAAAGTACAGTAGAAAAGCAAAGTAGGGCGGCCCACATCAAGCTGTGAGGTTATAATCGGGTGACACGGGGTGCTGCTCGTGAGGTTCCGACAGTGGAAATGCAGTGATAATATGCAGCTGAACCCCGGCGTCCTCGCCAACAGACTGCTCTGCTGATAGAGCTAGCTCTGTCCACTAACGAGTACTCACAACTCCACCGATGTCCGAGAAAATGTCTAAATTGGTATTAACTGGGGTGATGTTTTCAATCTCAGTGTTTTGTTGCCTGAAAAAAATGTCAGGGCTTAATAAAACACAGTACCAGTCCTACAGATGAAAATGATAACAGTTTTGAGACTGGCTCAAAATCTGTGCCATCAGGCTCTCGCCCGGCCGTCACTACACAGAGTAGAGCTTTCCCCAGATGTGGGCTGTCGCCTTGCTGGGCTGCTACAACCAATGTCTCCATCCATCCATCTTCATTCAGTCAATGCTCTAACATGGTTCAGTCTATGCTGGGTTTTTATACTTTGGAAGAGGAACAAAAGTAAATATGAAGAAATAACACTGACCATCTCACTAGCATCCGTAATGCTTTGTTTACAACTCTGTTTACCGGTGCACCAATGTGGGATGTACGAGTGACAGTACTCGCTGAATGCTTCCAGTGTCAATGAACAGGATTTTGTCTCCTATGTGCTTGGAGCGCTCAGCAGTGCAGCTTTCTCACCAAAAGTACTGTGTACACACATGGGTTTTTTTTTATTTTTATACTGGCCTAAACCCGCTTTTAACTGGTTTCTGATGTCATTCCCACTGCAGACTGACCTGGCTCAGCTCTCCAGTAGACAAGCTTGTTTTTTGTCTGGTAAGTCATATCTGACATCATCACGTTGGTGATGTCAAATACGTGCACCGGTAAACAGAGTTGTAAACAAAGCATTATAGATGCTAGTGAGATGGTCAGTGTTATTTCTTCATATTTACTTTTGTTCCTCTTCCAAAGTATAAAAACCCAGCATAGACTGAACCATGCTAGAGCATTGACTGAATGAAGACGGATGAAATTTACGGCTGAGACGGTGTTATGATGCAGTGATGATGACATGCGTGTCATTGCATACTGTATGTTCATGGGTTGAGCCGAGTTTTACTTTCCCATTGTTTCCAAGCTGAGGTGTGCCGAGGCAAAGAGGACAATGACCCGTGTAAATTGCAGAGTCATTTGACCCAATAGTTGCATTTCCACTGCTGTCAAAAGCTGAGGTGTGGTGAGTTTACGTTTTTTGGGCAGTGGGAAAGGGGCTTTAGCTAGATAAATTCTCACATCTGCATACACAAACACAAAAGTCCCATGTGTGTCTACCTTATTAGCAGCCTCTAGTGAACTGATGAGTGTGTTTAACTCTTCACGGTTTATCTCCACAGTGACAGGCTGGAGGGCTCCGTTCTCTCTCACATCCAGACTGAGACTGAGCAGAGGAGTGTGGAGAGATGAGATCTTATCACTGGACACAGCTAACTGGAAGAAGAGGAGGGGAAACAGGAAAGGGAAACTTACATTTATACAGAAGCATACATTAACAGGAACAGCCTGTAGAGACTGGCTCTATTTCCTAATTTGAGCTTTAGTATAATTTTTTCCCTAAGTCAATCTTTCATTATATATTGCATAAAAAAATAACTGATTAATTAAAAAATATATTGCAGAGGTACCCGAATTTGGTCAGTAATTCAGCCAGCTGAACGATGTAGGCAGGTCATCAACCAGCCATGCTGGGTTTCCACTGTAGGAACCTACACAAACAACGTGTCCTGGGTTCTGCTTTTGTCTCCACTGCCCTCTGCTGGCTTTGGAGGTGAGTTTTGGGAACTAAAGTTCAGGACCTCTCAGGGGTACTAAAATTAAATTCCAGGAAGGGGGAGACAGTAGATCCTCGCAGGGCTGTCACCCATTATTAGCCCCTCTGCGTCCATAATAACTGTGTTGTGCAACATAAAAATTGTGACATCATGATCTGTTTGCTACACAGAGTTTGTCCACTGGATGTAAGTAGTTATAGTAGCAATAATAATTAAATTCTAATTTAATTCAATGCTTTATTGCCATTTCAGCATAGTTGATAGGAATTTACTTTGGTCAGCTCACATTTAAAATGAGACAATACAAATGAAAACACACATGACTAACAATACCAGGTATCCAACAGTTAAGACAAAATAAGACCAGCAATAATTTAATAACCATTCTTCCATCTTCACATCCATCCACCTGCATGCACACACACACACCTATATTTTAAAAGGGTTTCACCACGTTTTTGAAGAAAGTGCTGACTGGGAAGCCTCAACACCTAAATGAGACTTCACCCCGGCATCACAAATACAGGAGCGTCGATTCGAGTAGCTTTAATAGTCACATCATCAAGCATAACCCCAGTATACCCTTCACTCTTTAGCACTCCAGGGGCGGCTGCGGCTCAGGAGGTAGAGCGGGCCATCTCCTAACAGGGGGATTAGCAGTTCGATTCCTGGCTTGTCCAGTCAACATGTCAAAGTGTCCTTGAGCAAGACACTGAACCCCCAGTTGCTCCTGGTGATAACACCGGTGTGTGAATGTTTGGGAGTGCGAATGGGTGAATGGCCAAGTTGTGTGAAAGCACTTTGAGTGGAGTGTGCTGTAAAGCATAGAAAAGCGCTGTATACTGTAAGTATAAGACCATTTACCATTCCCTTCCTTCCAGTGTAGTCTGTATTGTAGTGGTTAAAACAAACAAGCTACAGTTAATAAGCAATATGTAATAGAATACAGTGAGAGTGTGTAGATTACATGTAGTTACTGTACACAGTAGTCAATAACTAATTTCTGCAAACCCTCTGTACTATGTCAGCTCACTGTGTTTGTGTGTGCTGAAGCAAGAACATTTTGGGTTCATGGCCTGTTTGTTTAACCCATTGGGTCATCCGGATCTGGACATGACCTGTTAACTTGGTTCGGGAATTGGCGGGGGAGCCAAAAGTGAGCTGTGTACAAAAAGAGGCAGTATGCTGCTGCAGTAGAGTAGGGTAGTGTAGTGTGTGTGCGTGTGGAAGAAAGACGTTTGAGTGAGACCCCGGCCAGGGCACATCGCGGACTTGACTGTGCTTATGACCTAAAAGAGAATGACTGACTCTGTGACTATCTTCTGGTCTAATACTGCATTTATTTCCTGCAGGAATGGTGACTCTGTCCCCTATCAGTCTGTTGAATTGTCTACCAAACTATTAAACTGCCTGGAATTATTGTAATATTAAATGATCATAAGCATTTTAGTGATTCATCTGTGAATTAATTTAGCTCACATCAGGTCCTAGCCACCACAGTATCATTTGCAGCGCGTTTGTGTAGATGATTTTCTGTATTTGCCGTGTTTTCTAAATGCTGTGCATCTGTTGTCAAATTGTCTTATAATTTGCTAGTGTTTCATTTATTTGCAAGTGTTTTCCGACGTCGCAGTGGTTTTACTTTTTCCATCAACTTTTCAAGGCAATTCAGTTGTGGCACTTATGTTAGAAACACAGTAGAAATAAGATAAGGAGTAAAGCACATTAAACACTGAGGAATAGAGGATTAAGTAACCTTAAGCTGCCAGTCAAAGTCCTGCAGAGTGGAAGAGGAGATGGAGGTGGTTCTGTCCAGTAGAGCACGGCGGATCTCATCCTGTCTGGCTCGCAACACATTCAGCACAGCCT